TCTATTTGACACGGTTGAAAAGTTTATCAAGAAGCAAAATGGAAAGAAAAAAAAACATGTTATACTGTCCGAGTGGCTGCAAGCAACCCAAAGACGCTATTAAATCGTCTATTTGACACGGTTGAAAAGTTTATCAAGAAGCAAAATAGAAAGGAAAAAAAGAACATGTTATACTGCCCGAGTGGCTGTAAGCAACCCAAAGACGCTGTTGAATCGTCTTTTTGAGTGTGTTGAAAAGTTTATCAAAAAGCAAGATAGAAGGAAAAAAAAAGAACATGTCATACTGTCCGAAAGGCTGCAAGCAACCCAAAAACACTGTTGATTCGCTTTTTTGACAGGCTTAAAAAGTTTATCAAGAAGTAAGGCGGTTTAGGCTTGAAACAAAAGTACTCAAGCGACTGATCAGCTCTTCAGTTATCCTTTATTTTACAGGCTTTAGGATTTATTGTGCCTGCTCGATGAAGCATTTTATACTTTGACACACAGTAATTCAAAACCAATTTTGAAATGATGACAAGACCAAGCGCCAAAAGATTTCTTACAGATTTTTTGCTAGAAAGAGAATATAAATAATTTTTGAAGTGTTGATGAGAAGATTTTGAAATGGATACGGGTAACTAAATAAATATTGTCTGAGCCGCATCTCGGAATAATGCAGGACTGTCGATTCCGTTTCGCAAACAGGTTCATAAGCTTCACGAGAAGATGAAAAGCTTAAGCTATGTTTGTTTTTTAAAGCTGTCGTAAACAATTTTTTTTTTTTACCTTTTCCAGCGCCCAAGCTCTTTGCTAGCGACAGAGCTGTTTAGGTATTTTTTGCTCCCTAGGAAGGCACCTTTTTAGGCTATCAAAAATGTTGCCAAAAAGTTTGCAGAGGGCCTTGCGGTTGTCTCATAGAGTGACACCTGATTCAACTTTCTCAACTTCACTTTGAAAGTGTCGTCATCACATGCAAAATAGCTAGTTAAATGTAACTCTAAAGTGATGATCACCCAATGAGGCTAAAATATAACCTGTGTTTCTGTAGATGAACAGATGTCATTGTTTCTTTACTTGTCTGTGTCAAATAACAAGAACAAAATCAACGTTTGTAGGAACACTGCGGTTAGTGTTGATTGGAGGATACGTCTATAAAAAGAAAAGAAACTGACTCCAAAAGTGAAGCAGTCATTGCGTGAACGACGTCCCACAAGCCTAACAGATTGCTTCTAAAGACTCCACTTTCTTTTGTTTTTTTCAAGCTGCAATTTCAAAATTTAGTCTGTGTTAATTCTCGGCCGTTGTTGTAATTCTGCTAAGGAAGTAAATGATTTAATACAGCAAAAATGAGGCAAACATCTTTGAATCGAAAATGTGAACGTCTTCAGATCTAAGCCTTACGCTAAATAACAGAAAACGTTACCTTTATTTCTTCAACAGCAAATTTTCTACTCACTAAACATTGGAGTTTTTATCAGCAAATCACTTAACAGAGCACTATCGCCTAAGACAGAACTGTTTTGATTTAACTTCTTTATTCTTATATGATGTTATCCTGAAAATAAAATTAAAAAAAACAAACGTGAAGCAGTTCAAAAAACAGTAAAATGCTTTGCACCAAGCGCCAGAAATGCATTACTCAAAGCATCGCATTTTACTTTTTTTTCTTGAAATGCTTCACGTTTGTTTTTTTTCTTAATTTTATTTTTAGGATGACATCATATGGCAATGAAGAAGTTAAATCAAAACAGTACTGTCTCAGGCGACAGTGCCCTGTTAAGTGATTTGCTGATAAAAATCCCAATATTTAGTAACTGAAACATTTGCTGTTGAAGAAATAAGGGCAACTTCTTCTGTTATTTAGCGTAAGATTTAGATCTAAAGACGTTCACATTTTTTGATTCAAGGACGTTCACCTTTTCTTTGCTCTATTAAATGATGTACTTTCTCGAATAGACTAAATATTGTATTTCCAGGTGGGAAAAAAACAGAAGAAAGTTGGGTCTTTGAAAACAATCCGTTAAGCTTGTGGGGACCAGCAGTTCAAGCAAGAACTGTTCTATTTCTAGAGTCAGTTTTCTTCTTCTTTCTGTAAAAGTATTTTTCAATTAACACTGATCACAGTGTACATAAAACTGTTGATTTTATTTTTTCATTTGGTCTAAATAAGTAAAAAAACAATGAGATCTACGCATATAACTAAAGCAGGCTATACTTTTGGCTCACTTTGTAATGACTCACTCAGGGAGCTCGAAGTTTACATTTGATCAGTTGTTTTGCATATGTTGGAGACATTTTTAGATTGAAGTCAAGATAATTGAATCAGGTGCCACCTTGTAAGACAACCAGAAAACTCTCTGCAAAATTTTTGGCAACATTCCTAATAGCCTAAAAAAGTGCTCTTCTAGAGAGCAAAAAGCACTTAAACAGCTGAGGCAGATTAAACTGTTATTTTCGTAGTGTTGCTAGCAAAGAGCTCAAGCACTGAAAAAGGTAAACAGAAAAGGAATGGCTAAGAAAGCTACTGAAAAGCAAACATAACTTAAATTTTTAATCTTTTGATGAAGCTTATAAACTAGTGTGCGAAACGGAATCGGCGGTTCTGCGTGTTGACGAAATGCGGCTCAGACAACAACTATTTAGTAATCATGTTCATCTTAAAAGCTGCACATAAAGATTTCAAAAATCATTTATATTGCTTTTGTAACAAAAAAACTGTAAGAAACTTTTTGACGCTTGGTTTCGTCATCGTTTTACCATCAGTCTTGAATTAGCCTCTGTAAAAAATAAAGTGCTCAATCAAGCAGGCACAATAAATCCCAAAGCGTATAGAATGAAGAAATTAAAATCTGATCAGTCGTTGCAGTATTTTTATTCTTACGAATCACCCAATCCCGTCTTTTTAATTTCTTCAGCATTATTGCAGTTAAAGACACTCACTCAATCCCTATCAGTGAAACCAGAAAAATGTCTCTTTGCTGAGTTTTCCTACCGTTCTGATGGTTCAGTCAGTTTTTTCAAAGTTGGGTAATTAGACCTTTATTTTTAGAAACATAACACTGCTACGTATTAGTAACGATTTAACCGACACATTTATAAAAACAATGACTACGAAACAAAAATCTAAAAATAAGCCGCGGATTTAAAACATAGGTCTATTCAGTCCGTCGTATGATTAAGACTGAGTTAGGAAACGTGCAACTAACAAACGACAACCTATTCTCGTAACAAGTGTCGCCTGGTTTAGAGAACAATTTTCTGAGCTGAGCCAAGCTTTTGCTTCGTCGCTGCGCCGTTTGGCTGCCGCAACATTCCAGACCGATCAGGTTTATGCGTAAGTTCCTCTCGTGCAATTCTGCATGCTTCCAGGATAAGTGCGGAACGTTGTGCTGCAAATTGTGCTGACTTCTGCTTCCTTGCCAGCATCCAATATCTTGTTCTTCGCAGCTTGGATATTTGTGGCCTAATTCTGAGCTCAAGCGACACTCCATCTGATGTGTCCCGTGCTCTGGTACCGGTCGCGTCGTAGCGGCCTCCATAAAGTATGTCGCTTGCGATCGGCTACTGTCAAACTGTACTCACTAATCCCTAAAAAATCCTCTTGTCCTATCTCTAGCGGGCGTAAATGTTTTACGAGACAAAGCATAGTAACTTTTTTTGCTAGCCAAATCTCCGCCACCCCTTTTTGTCTTCTAGTTGTGGCAGGCCTGTAATTCTAGCCAATCTCTACTGTCCTTTGTTTTAACCATCATTTCATAATAACATTGTCTCGACTATTCTAGGCGAAGAGAAAGATAAGAATTCTCCTTCTTTACGTTTTTTATTAGTAATTTTTCTTAATTATTTCAAACGCTCGTGTCTCCAAACATCTCAAAATTGTTCAAGGCACTCTTTTCTTCTTTGAAACCTAAGCTTTAGTTACTCCGTTGCGCTCCTCTGTTTGCAACCACCACTTTCTTTTCTCAGCTGATGCTGTTCTGCCCTCAAATTAACTCTAGGCATCGAAAAATCGCATAACATCCAAACTATCATCGCTGACTTAAGTGACTGGTCTTGAGTTTAATACGCTTTCAACGGTGCCTAATAATCCCTAAAACTTCTGTTCTGTTAGAAGTAACTTGCAGAGTGACTTTTTGAAACGGGTCTTAACAAGCCGTGCTATTCTTTCATTAATTTTGGTTTTTTCAAGGTGCAAGAAGGGTTGTAAAGCTCCATTTAAATAGAACACAGCGCTCTGCTTTGACAAGCTACGAGGCACACTTGGACAGTACAATGCTTGCACCTCCCTTCTTACCTCAAATATCTTGAATGCTCTTTTAAAATCAAAAGTTGAAGTTGCACACGCATTCGAGGTGAAGCGCTCTCGTTACCAAAAAAGTAAAAATTACTATCCGGCGCTTTTTGACCTTTTTTCTCCTTGCTCAAAGCCTGAACCAAGCCTGTGTAGTCCAAGCCAGAGTTTTCAAAAGAGGCTGGGTATGCGATGCGTTCTGCTTAAAGATTCGGCATTTCTGGCAGGTTAAATGGTTTTATTAGCCATCTACTACAAAGAAAACAATGTTTTTTCGCATTGTTCCAATGCCTTTTTCTGCCAAAAGTCTTCCCTAAACTTCTTCAGCGTATGCGCCACACCACAGTGTACGCAACCCCTAAGCGCTTCCAATATCAACAGCGTTATCATCGAACTGGAAAGTTAATTAGAGAGAAAGTTAATTAGCAAAAAATGTTCAAGTTTTTGGTTTGCTAAGACGTGAGCGTGCTTGCAAAACCCTGTCTTTATCTTTCTTTAAGTTCCACTGTCGAGCATCTTCTCAAACCACTTCATGTTCCTGCACAAAGATCAAGTTCTCTGTCAACTGTGAGGCTCCGTATTTGTCTTGTTTTGATTCTACTTTCTGTAGAGAACTCAACGTCTTTCTCTCAATACTCGTAAGGAACAGGAACATTATTTTTGCTAACTGCTAGCGCAGTCAAGCTGCTTAACTCGTTGGGTTCTATAAATTTACTGATTTTCTGACTATTCTCTACGGCATGATTTAGTTTCACTTCTTCCTCGCACTTTTCTCTTTTTTTCTGCGTAGCTCACTTCCATTTTAGTTTTTATTGGCTCGTTAAGTCACTTAGTTTCATTCTTTTAAGTCCATTTTGGTCCAGACCGGAACATTTCAAAAGACTCTAACGTTTCTGTTGACACTGCTCTGGTGACCATAAGATTACCCTTTGATGGCACGTACCGAAATAGAAAATAAATTTTTTTTTTCTTCGATTCGATTCTTACAAAGTCTGTGTAGCATTTCTACACAGTGGTTACTCAGCCAAAATATGGTACACTTTGAGTCGCTTCTTTCATATCATTTAGCTCCTAAGCGTATACGTCTTTAGTAGTCAACGCTGCTATAAGAGTTTCTTTTCTCACTGTAGCTCCAGTTGTGATCTTTTCAGTTTTCCCCGTATGCTATAACGGTGACTTTTTTAACAAATGACTAAACTACAAATTAATGTTACTCTGCATCAACTTCAAACTTTGTAAAATGAAGTACATGTTTTGAAAAAATTTCCCGTTTTTGTAATACGATACGGCGCTGTTAGAAAACCGTATAACTTTCTTCAAACTGAATTTGTTCTAAGAAATATTTAGAAGGGGGTGCCTATTACACTGTGTTGAGTAAAAAAAGGCCACAACCGAGTCGTAGAAGACATTACCAAATGCAAAATTTTACTTTCGTATAAATCTTATACAAACAGGCCGTAGTTTGCTCATTCGATCAGCGGTAGTTGAGAATAACATTGTGGACGACCATTGTTCTTTAGCATACTTGCAGAGCAATGCATAGCTGGGTGGATTGCAGCAAAATGATACTTGTTTACAGCAAATAACACAGACTGACAAATATTTAGGCTGAAAGAACTCAGTAAAGGAGCAAAGCGATTTAAAAGCAAAAAGTAGCAGTAATGGTAGCTTCTTTTCCAAATTTTCTGTTATTAAATTAGCTGGCATAAAGTATATGATAAGATTTCAGTTAAAACAGAACACTTCAACTTAAAAATGCGCCACAGTGCTGCTTCAGATAAGCATTTCCTGCAGTCTAGTCTGAAAAATTCTATCATAACACTTAACACCGTTAGACTATCACTCCAAAACTCTAGTATATTGTACACATACTAAATCCAATAATATGCATTTTTCCAAAAAGTTTTACAGTGTTGCACTTTTAAATACTACATTTAAAACTAATTCGCAATATAGTTTTTTCCTTATCGTGCCGATATACAAATATCAGTTTATGGCCACATCTGCAAAAAATAGACTTTCAGGCGAAACAAAAATTCCAAAAAACTTTGTTCAAAAAATTAAAGCAACATTCTCAAATGACAATCATGCCGAACAAAAACTGCATTCTTTTTGCATTTAACACGGTTTGTAAAGGAAAAAGTACAATTTACTTGTCTTTTGTGGTTTGTTATTCGCCACAGGTTTTTCTTCTGTCCACTGTTCTATTTTCTGCCAGTATCCCTTGTTACTGATGACAGTTAAGACAGCTGGGTTCTTTAAGTTAGGTACTGCGTTCCACAGATTAGATTCTCTTTTCTTCAGTATACCCACAGTTTTATTGCCAGTAAAATTTGTGAGTTAATTTTATGCCTGCCACGCGGGAATTATTGGGTTCAATACGTTTATTCCAAACCTCAAACTTGGGTAATTGAACCACGTTGGTACTGACCAAATTATACAGAAAAGGTTATAGGTTACACGTTAACACACTAAAGAACAGAACATAATCATATAAGTATTCCTACCAGAAATAATAGTTAAACATATGAAATACATTTATAAGTAGCATTAAGAGAAAGGTAAAGGAGAAACTGAGTTTAAGAGTAGAAAAAGTGAGACTGATCACGCTCCACTATAAGACTCTCTTATATAGTGTTTTCAGACGATTACCATCTGTCGAGATTAAGCTGATGTTTACAGCTTGAGTCAAATACCAATTCTATGACAGTTTCAGGTCGATCTGGAGGTTTACAACATATTGTCAACAGCTCCAGATTGGCGTCGTGGTTGATCTTGAGGTCAATTATGGATTATTGTTATGATTAGACTCATATGCTCCGACTAATAGCGATCTGTTTAGCTTTGCAAGTTGTTGCTGTAAACAGTAATTCATAATGATTAGTGTCGTTTACAGCTTGGTTTATCCTTCAGTGCCCTGACCATTAGCGATCTGTGTGTCCTTACCATTGTTCCTCCTAATCTTTTTTCTAAACTTGCCTTTCAACGACACGGTTTGATTTCGCCATCAGTGTTTTTTTAGCACACAATTTACAGAAAAGGTGCACATCAGAAGTTTCTAGTTACTTCTGCCATATTGTCCAATTTCGGTTAATTGATATTACACCATTACTAGGTCCTTATGTCATCAAAAATTGAACAGCCTGAGTTAGACGACCAGAGGAAAGCAGTTCAGCGTTTTCTGTACCTGTTCTTGCAGGAAGCGTCATCATTAATAGGCGGTACTGCGAATAATACGTCAACAACGAACAGCGCACATACAGAGAAAAATAATTTTCTATTATATACAAATTGTTAAGCGACTAACAATCACGAATGAGTTTATTAAAAGTAAGAGCATTTTAAATGATTACTTTTAGAACATTTGTTTAGTTTTGTTGTTTGAAAGAGTTTATAAAATACATTTTTTGAGTCTTTTGAGCATGTCTAAGTTCTATAACAGCTAATAGGCAATTAAGCATCCTGCAGGAGGCTGACAACCGTCAATTTCGAAGTTCCCTTATCTCTTTTTTGCTTTTGAGCTTGCCTTTTCTTACCACCAAAACCCAGATTCTGTCAAACTTCAGTTAACATCTCTTGGAGTCTGTCACCAAGTTTTTAAAATACGCTACAGCCAAATTCCACTGCAGTCAATTTTAGTTGCAGTTCTTCTCAGTTTTGAACTGAAAGCTGATAAGTTTTGTCCTTTTGACAGAAAAGGGAAACAGGCAGAGAAGGGCGAGAAAAAGGAGATAACAAAAAGAAGTAAGGAGCAGAAAGAGAAATAGAGCAATTCCAACAGATACTGACCTGAAATTCGCAAGCAAAAATTTGTTCGCAGTATATTATAGCACTCTAAAAAAATAATTTTGATTTGGTCATTCAGTTGCAATTAGCGCTCTTTGGTATTTTTAACACTTTTTTTGTTCTACTCTGTTCCGAGTCCACAGTTCATATTCTAGCAACCGTTTTAATTCGTACTCCTCTCACACAGCTTTCCATATGTAACGATATAAATTTTTGAGTTGTTTCGTTCACTTCGTCACTCGCTGTTATTAGCTACTAGCAAAATACTTAGTTTCATTAGAAACTGTTTATAGTTTATTAGAGATGGTGTTGAGATTTATACAACAGTGTAAAGTACATAGGAAAGGAAAGCTGAAGTGCTGATCAAAAGTTTACAGCAAGTGTCGTTAAATGCGAAAAATAAAGGATCAAGGATCAGAGGATCAGAAGTGGAAATCAACAAAGAATCGAGGAATGAGAAAGTTTAGGCATCCAGAAGCAAGAAATTTATCATCATTTGCCAGTAAAGAGGTTATTGACTAATTGGATAATAAATGGCTCAAAGATATAACATATGTAAGAGAAACCCAAGGATGAAAAATGATGAAACAGCAGAGGTATTGCCAAGAATAATAAAACGATCGAGATTACAATCACTCTTATATCAAGAGCAATGATGGACACGAAGTTACACTTATACCAAAAAGTGCAAATAACATACTTTTGTAAGTTGGGAAGAATTTTAAATATTATATAATTAAAGCATATTGTGGAAGGTACTTTTTATAAAATTAATGTATTTACAATTTGCTTTCATTGTGACATTATAGAAAGCTAATTACAAAAATACTAGATTCTTTTTCCTAAAGCTATTGGTGGCGTATTGTACTCTCTCTCCTTGTATTTTCAGAAAACTTAATAAAATTATTGGCAAAAGAAGTCTCATTCAACAACTTAAATCCGCGTGGCAGGCTATTACCCAATTAAAGAAATTAAACTGAATCGGCACTCTCCTGATAAAAGATAGCTTACTTTCTTTCTTTAAACACTGTAAAACCAAACATACATATTTATTTTACTTCTTTCTGCGACATGGTGCGTCGGGATTCACCCGAATTAACAGGTCATATTCTACTTTTTTATTTACCTTCCTTATCTTTACTTATATTTCTTCTACCTATATATTTCTTATCTCTTCTCTTCTCCTTCCCATTGTGAATTGTATAATTCTAACAATTGAGAAGATTTGAGAAAGTTAAAATATAAAGGTAAAAAGATAAAGTAAATACAAAATTTTACTAAAAAAATACATAGATATATAAATAAATAAGAATAAATTAGTTATAAGATGAATTTGGCAATAACTAAACTTTTAAATAAATAATGAGAAGAGTTCAAACAAGGACTAGAAAAAATAATTCAATTGGTACAGCCGGTCGAGGCTGAGGATAAAAACTTATTGGCTAAGCAGTATTAGGAATATATCAATGAAGGTAGGATTCAAGCAAAACTTTTGAGAAATATTCTTTCACAACTTGAATCACTTCATGAAAAATGGCTGAACTTATCTGCATTGGAGTTTGTTGGCGAAGGGCAGATGGAGAGGCAATAAGTGGATCCTCTTGGAGACCAATAACAGTTGAGAAAGACCAAGAAGACAATGGCCATATTAGAAGCTAATGTGGAGCAGTGTAAATAAAATCTACAAGAACTGAATAAACAGCAGAAGACAGGAGCTATAAGACCAAATGTTTTTATACCTCCGATTCCTATTTCCAGTGGCAACTTGACTGAGTGGCTTTCATCTTGGAATTCTTTCGAAACTTATGTAGAAAAGAATAATAAGTTAGAAAATATACAAAAACTGTCACAATTAAAGAAGGTTTTGGTAGAAGAAACAAAAAAGTTAGTGAAAGGCTATGTGATTTCTGCTGTAAATTATGAAATAGTAAAAAGTACCTCAAAGGTATTATAAACCTGACAAAACAGCAGAAATATTACTAATGGAATTAGTTGATTTACCTGTAGAGAACAATAAGATAACGTACCAGAATATGGAAAACATCGAAAGGATATTACAACAATTAGAAGGTTTTGGAATAGATATTAATCATATAATAATTAGAGTGATTATTGAGAAAAAGATACCACTACCTATGCTAATAAAAGCGAAAAAGAAGCAATGTGGGCAAGATAGATGAAGTGTAAGTAAATTGAGAGAGTTCCTTGAAAAACATTTGCGAAGTTACCAAGGGGCTAAGCGGCTTCAGGAATAAAGCTTAACAGAAGCAATGAAAGCCCCGGTTAAGGCACCAACGCAAAGGAAGGACGAGAAATTTGCTTCATTGATAGCAATTGAGGAATCTTTAGAAAATGGAGGAGACAATACAGAATTATTTGAGAAAAAAGCAGAATTATATATTAATATAGATAGAATAAAAAAGACAAATAAGCTTTCAGGTAATGAAGTAATTGACTCTTGTTTTAATTTGGTAAAAGCTTCAAATTGTTTATTTTGCAAAAAAACACATAAAAATGCTCAATGTCCCAAATATAATACGGCAGATACGAAAAAGAAGAGAGCCAAAGAATTAAAATTTTGTTTTAAATGTTTAAAAACAGATCATAAAACAAAAAATTGTAAGACTAGATTATAGCCGTGTTATCACTGTCGTCAAAAACATAATGTATTAATTTGCAAAGCTAGAGAAGAACAAAAACAACCTGTTAGTAGTTTCTTTTTATCTTACATAAATGGATACTCTGAAAACAAAGATTATCTCTCAGATCACAGTGATACTGATAAAGATTTTAGATCGAAGATATCTAATGGTAAATGTGTTAGTCAGAAAGGCGAACTAGTATCGCATGGCTTATCATATAATTGCAAAACAGTCTCTCTTCCTTCAATTGTGAAAACAAATAAAGATTTTTTCATAGCTAAAGAAATAATGATGGAAAACCTTTGTTGTTCTTTCTATAGAACCAAAGTAGTAGCCATTTTCAATACTGGAAGCGAAAATTCGTTTTATAGATGAAAAGCTGGCTAAAGGTTTGAGTTTAGAACCTACTGGGGTTATAACTAATTCAAAAATAAAAGATTTCAATTCAAATTCTTTTTATAATTTTAAAACCTGAGGAGTAAAATCAATGCTTATTGATTGCGAAGGTAATCTTATTAAGTTATCAGTTTATACACTTCCAAATTTATCGAACAATATTTAAATCATTAAATTTTACCCACAATTACTAAAGGTAAATGATGTAGAAGAAATAATAAAAAATACCCAATGGAAACAGTTTAAATTCCTGCTAGGTAATTCGTTTTTTTGTAGACTACTAAAAGGAATGAAAACACTGAAGTCAGGTTTCATTTATATAGATACAAAACTAGGACCAATGATCACTGGTCGACTTCCAACGGAAAATGAGAAAAATACTTTTTATTCAGTAGAATCCTCTTACAGAATTGATACAGTTAAGGATATTGATTCCTTCTGAAAGTTAGAATCAGCAGGTATTTGTGATGATCCAGAACAGAATGATGATAAAAAAGCCTGGAAACATTTTTAAGAAACAGCAGTATAAGATGAATGAAGATATGTGATTAGTTGGCCATAGAAAGAGAATAGACCAAAATTAGCAGATAATTTTGGACTCTGTATAGGTAGATTGAGATTTTTACAGAATAAGTTAGTCAAGAATGAAAATCTCTTTAATCAATATAATGATCTAGCAAAAGACCAGATTGAAAAGAGAATAATAAAAAAGGTAGATCCTAAGGTAAAAAACAATTTAGTACATTATTTACCACGTCAACTAGTGGTAACACCTAATAAAACCACCACTAAATTAAGGGTGGTATATGATGCTTCTGCACATACAAGTACTGGAGTAAGTCTGAATAAAGTTCTGTTTGGAGGGCCAGTTATGCTTCCAGATTTGTGTTGGATTCTATTAAGATGGAGGAGGGAAAATTTTGCATTGATAGCAGATATAGAAAAAGCCTTTCTTCAAATAAAAATTAATGAAAAAGAGTCACACGTTTCCTATGGTTGAAGAATTCCATATTCTCCTCCAACACCAGATAATTTGTTAACACTTAGGTTTAAAAGACTACCTTTTGGAATTATATGTAGTCCTTTCATTCTGGCAGCGGTGATTAAAACTCACCTTCAACAATATCCTTCAGAAACAA